CGCGTCGGATGTGCACCTGTTGAGTTGAGTCCAGAAGTGGGGCGGTAGCTGTGATCTAATGGATTTTTGTTCAATATAGGTGTATACGATCAACCATACTGCGATGGTTCGGTCGTTTTGATGTGACGAAGGAGAGCTGTCAATTTCTACTTACTCTGCAGAGCTCTATTCGAGAGTCCTTTTTCCGCACAAATGATGACTTATGGCCTCCACGCATCTGGGAGACAGAGGTGCGTTTTCATTCTGTGGACTTATGTACTTTGCTCACATGAAGGTAGGAAGGTTTTTTTTCATTGAAGAAGCAACCTTAAAGAGGGTATCAGGGCCTTTGATCGCTCAATTAGTGGCTACTTGAAAATTGGCAGATATATTGAATGCATTTTGGGTTGCATTGATTCTTGCCGTTAATTGTATGGGCAGTCTAATCGAGGGGTGAACTTGAGGGCTTATCGTTTTTCCTCGATCCTGCGAAAAATCAGCGAAAACAAATCCTACTGCTCTGCAAATTCATATTCAAATTGGTTCCGAATTGTGCTCTAAGCGCGAGTTGTGGGCAGAATTTGAATTCAGTGGTTCCCAAAAAACAAGGAAAGCGGAGTACGCACTTATATTATGCAACTGGTGCGATATTTAAGGTATCTTCCTCAGTAGAAAATTGGAACTGAATGAAAACACTATCTTCGTTGACAGCAGTCAATAATAAGGACCGAAACGAAAGTGTGAGAACAAAGACAGCAACATTTACTAAAATTTACGAAATGTAATCTTTAGTGCGATTTCGCTGCTGCCTGACACCTGACTATTTTGATGTGATTGTAAAAAAAAACTTTGAAATGAATAGGTCTCTTTCTACCAGCCTAATCGACGGACTTTACCGATGGTGACTATTTCTTTGAATGCAGCATGAAAGAGTAGATTTACGGTCGAAATATTCGAAAATGTCGGATTGGGTAGTGAAAATATTGGTCCTGGAAAAAAGAGTTGGCTCATCGCAGAAAACCACCTTTTAGTAGAAGAATAAAAAAAGCAGTAGCCTCAAGGAACGTATACTTTGGTCAGTGATTAGGGAAACTTCAGCAAAATAAATGCTCAAAAAAACGGCAGAAATTAATGCACGCCCCACCCCATTCCTCTTAGGTTAGAGACTGAACGGGAATGTAATTTGCTGGTGTGGCGAGTCGCAATAACGTACGGCAGGTTTAGCCGGCCGATCAAACGAATTCTACGCGGAGTTTCGACGATTTTTGCGAACGCGCACCTGCGACGGATCGCACAATATTGCGATGCCCATTTGCCAACATTTGAAGCACTGAATATGAACAAGTGGAATCAGGAGCAGTATCTATTATTGAAGCGTCCGTCCTAAATCAGATGTAGTGGGGTAATTGGGAGACACTTGCTGAATTGGTCGGCAATTTGTGATTTTTCGTGCCCGTGCGTGAACTGTATGAATCGTGCAGATCGGCAAGCGCGAAGCCTCGACGATTGCGGACTCTGACCCAGCCTTACTTATCTCTGAATGATTAATGGCGACTTGTTCTAGGATGTTTCTTGCATTGATCCAAGGTGGGAAAGCGAAGAATCAGAGGATGTTTTATGGGAGGCTGACAGATTACTGGACGCCTTCCTCTACGTGTCAGCATTCTGCGAGCAGCGATTCCGCAGGGATTCGATGGCAATGATCCGGTTAGTTCATCAGTGAAGTACGATGTAAAATTTCAGGGAAATTGTGCTTTATTCCAGTCGTTCACGGCTGGACTTAAAATGGCACCTTTGAAATTCCGCTGCAGTGCGTTCCGATTGTGGACAGGATGTTTGGGAAAAGAGTTGGAGGAACCAGAGAACAATCACTGTCTAGGTAACTCCCTGGAAATATCACTTTTTGGCTTATTCACTGTTTATGATGAGTGCCTATTGCTTATTTTCAGAGGAATTATCTTGAACAACGGCTGTAGTTCTCTTTCGGGCCTACGCCAAGCTGTTGAGGCTGCCGCCGGTTCCTGTAAAATGACTCCAGAAAGCAACATCAAGTGGCAGAAATTGATCAGCGCTGTTCGTGAGCGAGAAAAATTGGATGATGAGCAGGTATTTTGCAGGGACTTCTTTCCTAAAACTGCGTCATATTCTTCTCATCATTTGCTTGTATCTATTTTTTAAGCGAGGAACAAGTTATTTGCCCGAGGAACTAAGTGGTATAGAGGTGCTACCTCTACCTTCGCCTGAGAAGGCCCTAGAGCGCCTGGAGGAAGCCTTAAGGATATCTGGCTCCAGTGACTCGAAGTCATGTCCTGCATTTCCTGATCTCTACGATAATCTGGCAAAAGCTGGTTATGACCAGAGGGTTTTTGCTAGATTCGTCATTGTAAGCACTTTAAGACCATTTCATTTTGCTAGGATTACTTTCATATATTTACGTTGAGTTTTTTGGTAGATTCATAGTCATTTTAGGAACTCATTAATCTCATAAAGTCGCATCATGACGTGAAGGTTGCGCTGGATGTTATTTCGGAGGCGGTTATAAGATGTAGATTAAAGGTATCTTATTCTCAATCACATCTCACTTTATTTCAACTGCAATCACGGATTTTTTATGTGCTGTAAATATCTTCTAGCGAATGGACGCTACCTTATCTTGATAACTATTAGTTACGGAAAAGTTTTCTTTCTTGTCCCACCTTTTTTGCAAATATCAAAGCTTGGTTTAGTATTGTTGTTCAGGTTGTTGTTGACCACGGCTGCTCAGTTGTGGACGAAATTCTTTCCAAAGAACATTCCGATGAACACTTTTTCTTTCTGGTTGAATATCGCTATTGTTGGGTGAGACCTTGAAAATTTCTGTGTTCTTGCCTGCTTCTGCTTATTTATTGTTAAGGCTATGAATCACTTAGTCGATAAGGCAGTTGAATGTCGTACTCTTCCGTTGTCACGCATTTTATGGTCTGTCTGTGAGAAATCCAAAGATCTTCTACAAATATGTTTTGAGGTCTGTTTTCTTCTCACCCATAGATTGTTTTGAGAGCCTTATAATTGGCAGTAGCAATGTTATGATCTGAGTCTATGATAAGTCCCGTCTGACTTTGCAGTCATGTCGTGCCACCCTAAGCGAGCCGTCGGTAGATGCCAAAGTCATCAGCGTGTACTGAAAACATTGAAACTATTTGCGTCAAAAGCGGATTGCAGTGAGTTTTCTCATCCTTTGAAAGAACCATGGTTTTCTCACCGTCGATTCTTCTCTTTTAAAGAAATGCCGAAAGATTTTGTGGAATTTTTAGCTTCTGCATGTGTGGACGTTCAACAACACGACGATTTCCTTGTGAGAAGCGCTGCAACAATACTATTTGGTGCGTTCGGGGGTTGTTCAATAGAAATGAAGTTTGAGTGATTTTTGCCCATCCAGGTTTCGTAGTTCGATACATCACGCGAAGTCGTGTGGTGCCAGCGTTCTACATTGTCTCGACAAGGGCCAAATTTTGGCACGAGGTAGGTAAAAGCCACGTGAATCGCTCTTGGGCACTCCCATGTTCACATTGAATATAACGATATCTTGCTTTAATGAAGGCTGAGTAGGCTGCTGCATTGTTAATCAAAAATTACCATACACGTGCAGCGCATTCTACCTTCTCAAGTGTTTTCTCTCGCAGTCTCACCTGGGTATATATAGTGTTTATCTCCGCGTCTAGGTACAATCGTAAGTTGTTAGAACTTTCAAAATAGCACTGCTGTCAATGAGCAAATCGAGAAGTTGTGAAAAATTTCCTCGGGCTCACGGAGACTTTACGTAATCGCAGACACATTTCACTCGAGGCTGCCGCATTTCGTGATAGGTAAGCGCGCTGCTGTGTCGCGGTCAGCATGAAACGCAAAAGTATTTTCTATTTTTCAAGCTTTCTGTACCAATCGAATCATTTTGGGTTTGAAAAAGAGTTACACCAATTGTAATAAAAGAGTGTCGAAGCTCGACAGTCTGCGGCACTCCTCGGCTATCATGGCCGCGATCACGACTTCGCTACCAAAGCACTTTTTGAATATGGTTTTCTCTGCAGCTGCGTTTAGCATCTGCTTTGCTTCCTTTAGCGCTGAAAGCCTTCCAGTATAGAATATCATTTTCAGGGCTATACATTCGTACTGCAATCGCTAATTGAACTGCTACAGCACTCGGCTGATATTCGTGAACGACGCTTTTGCCTTGAAGTATTAGTGGATATGTCACCCAGAGAAGCGCACGCAGAAATGGTGCAGCAGTTGAAGGAGTTGCCAGCAGATCAAAATCACGTTTCAAGAGCCGATTGCGATTTTCTGGCTTACACCATGAGGATGTAAGATAACAGTTTCACATTGTTTACTGGATTTTTTCGATTTTACTTTTATGGCCGCAAATTTTTAGTATTTTTTAGAATTGGTCCAGCTTGAATTTTTGAGACTTGAGCTCCTGAAGTTCAGGATCACTTTCATCTTTTTTCGAGAACCTTCACTTTTTGGCCTGTATTTATTAATTATCACTTTTCCATCACATATTTGTGCGAATATTTTCACAAGGAGGCAGTACTGTGGCCAAAACGCTTTCCACCCAGGACTCACTTTTTCAGATTCGATGAGACGGGCGACGTTATGGACAGACGTGTGATTCCAGCTGATCTCTTCCAGTCAAAATACGTTCAGCTGGTTGAGAAATGTCGTACAGTAGCCCCTGAGGAAGCTTTAAAAGAGACTGAGAAGATGTAAGTTATGAGATTCATCGCGAGTCCATATGTAAGGGCATTTCTTTTCAGGCTAACCTGTGTGGAGTCGCATTCAGCCGAGCTAACTTTACAAGCGATCGGTATGGCATTAACTCAGGTGGCGTTGAAACTGCGAGCACTGGAGTACGTTTTTGTTTTCGCGTTGAGCAGTAGGAGTATGATGATTAAAATGTTGAGTCTTGAACTTTCAGGAGTATTAATTGCACTACTCGCAGTTTACTGGTATCTCAGTGTTGTGCTTTACTTGAAAACAAATGGTGTTCGTCTAGAGCAGCCTCTATTGTGAGCAGAGTACCGGTCTGTTTAGGCCTTACAAAGCAATACTACCAAAAATATTATGTTTTACAGGTTTGTGGTTGATAATAGCTAAGATAATATGAATGTGCGATATTATTTATGTGGTTATCTACAAAGGTTTTTTTTCAGACGTTAAAGCAGTGGGAATCTCGGAAAGTGGAATAGGAAACGATTATATTCTAGGGGAACGATGTGTACTACTGAACACTGTTGTTTTATGTGCAGATTATTACATACGTTACCGATTGGTCTGGCTGATTTGATTTGTTTATTGTTTTATGTGCAAATTATTTACATGATTATCGATTGGTCTGGCTGATTTGGTTTGTTTGTTATGTTCAATAAATTATTTATTTCTGGTGTAATTGATTGCGGAAAAGTGTTGTATTCACTCGGTCTAATTGCTTCTTTATGAACAGGTACATGAAAAATTACTGAGTCGAGCTTAGCGAAATTCTGAAAATGATTTTTTTCAAAAAATTCCTGTGAAGTGCCTCAGACGGATAGCCAGGTCATTCCAGTTATAATGATGATTACCACTTTTAGAAATGTCGTTGAATTATGCTCAAGCGCTGTCTCCCTATGAGAACAAGGGACAGGTTGGAATGCCAGAGGAGGTATTGAATTGTTATGCATATGATTAGTTCTGAAAGGTTTCGTACGTTTATCATCCTGCCCGAAGCCTAACAGTATTTCGTAAAAAATTTAAAAGTAGAAAAAGAATAATAAAAAAATAATTGCTAAAAGTTCAGTGACTCACTCGAAAGAAGAGGTGGTGATTGAAAAGTTGAAGTGCACCGTCAAAAGATAGCTGTTTTGTTGTGAAACATCTTCCTCTCACCTACTGCGGCACGCCTCCTCACTTGGCCCCCATTTCATCCAATAGGGTTTTTAAAATCCGTGAGCGCTGTGAAGTTTCAAGGTTCATGGGAAAGGTTGTCGACATTCTGTCAAGATTAAAAGGCTATTATGTTGTGGACTGCACTGTTTATATAACCCCCAAAGCTTGCGGTTTGTCGTCCCATTGAGCAAGCGCAACTGTCTAGAATAGCTATTGATTCTGTGGCCTTGCGTACAACTTTCCTTCGTTTCTAATCGAATTAGGTATTGGCTTCAATGTCTTTTGCAAAAATTCTCGAAGTTTCTTTCCAGTTTCATGACTCTCCTGAAGAATTAGATGTAAAGTGTGCAGAACTGGCTAAACTGCTGTTGCAAAGTAAACGAACATTTGTTGTGACAGGAGCAGGTTTGTTCTGAATTTTGAGGCGATTTTTCTCACCAAAGTTATTTCTACGAGTGTAGGCATATCAACGTCAGCCGGGATTGCTGATTTTCGAGGGCCAAATGGCGTGTGGACCATCGAGAAAGAGGGCCGTGTGGCGGAAAGCGTTGATTTTACGCGTGCTCGCCCAACGCTTACGCATCGTGCCCTTCGAGTGTTGGAAGAGCGAGGACTGGTGAAGTGAATATATTGCTCAAGTTGCTCTTCTGTGAAGAGAAGTTCCGGTTCAGATTTCTAGTGTCACAAAATGTTGATGGGCTACATCCACGCTCGTCCTTCCCGTTGAATCGATTGGCAGAGCTTCATGGGAATGTGTTTTGTGAGCAGTGTGAAAAGTGCTCTAGGTGAGTAAAAGTGAGATGGTCACTAACTAATTTTAGCGTCCTAGCCTCTACCTTAACAAGCCTATCCGTGACTTCAGCCTGCGTAGAGGACAGTAAAGAGTTGCACTTACAGTGAACAATTTCAGGCGATATTACCGAGATTTCCCAACCGGAAGTGTCGGCCTTAAATACACGGGTCGTAATTGTGAAGGCACGCCAAAGGGCCGTGCATGTCGTGGACGTCTTCGTGACACAACTCTCGATTGGGAAGACGCCTTACCGGAGCCCGATTTTACTATAGCTTATGACTATGCGAAGGTAAGATGGCTTTGGCATTTTGCAGACTGAGCCGTCATATTTTGATTCTTAATTCTACAGATGTGTGCAACTCCAGAACGAAAACTTGTTACAGAACGCAGATCTGTCGCTATGTCTGGGAACGTCGCTGCAAATCGTGCCAGTGGGGGACATGCCTCTTTTAGCGAAAAAGAATGGTGGAAAGATGGTGACCGTGAATTTACAAGCAACGAAGCATGTGAGTGTTGGGCGTTCCCCTCTTTCGAAGCTATCCATGGAGGGGGAGGGGGAGCGGTACATTACAGGACTCGCCATGCATCTGCGCTTGCGCGTGTGCCTCCGTCTACTTTCAGAAAAGCGCGACTTCTCGAAGGTTAATTGCTTTAAGGCTGGTGTCAGAGTCCGCGATCCGTCGCAGGTTTCGCTGATTTTCGCGATTTGCGCGAAACCTGCGACGGATCGCAAAAATTGCAAGTGCCCCATTGAACATTTGAAACACTGAATATGAAACAAGTGGAATCATGAGCAGTCGTCATTCAGCCATCACTATCAAGCAGAAGTGGCGGCAGGATTGGAGAACACCTTGCAGTATTGATCGGGCACTTGTGATTTCCGTGACCCGTCGCGTGAATCGCGCAAATCGCAAAATCGCAAAAACGCGAAGTCAGCGAAACCTGCGACGGATCGCGGACTCTGACACCAGCCTAAGGGCAGTTCAATGCTGGGTCCCATAACGAAACCTTGTCTCCCCCTTCCCTGAGCGGGGGGAGGATAGCATCAATGGAGAAGACGCGTTTTTCTGGAAGGATAACAGACGGTCACTGGATGACACCGGAGTGTTTGATCGAAAAGTCAAATATAATCGTTTGCAGGAAAAGAAAGCAGATTTGGCGATTCATGGCTTGGTAGACGATGTGATGACTCGAGTATTAGGTCACTTGGGCATCAAAATAGAGGAAGACGTGGATGAAAAAGGAGGTGAGTGAATGGCTGCAAATTCATCACTCGGAATGAACCATGGCGGAGGGGAAGCAAAACTTGAGGAATGCATCATTTTTGAGGTTTCCTAGTTTGTTAATTTGAGGCCATATGAATTGTTGTACGAATTCAAAATTCATTCAGAGGTATCGGCGTATATTTGGAAAGGTCACTGCTCCGATTAAACATCCTTTAAAGGAATCTTGCGCGGAAAATTCTTGCACTCTTTCCTAACATGAATATGTCAGTTGTGATCACTGGAAATAGCACACAAAGTTTCACGCATGAAGATTCGGTTTCTGAAGAGAAACAAACGTACAAAAACTACACGTTATGGACCATCGAAGGACCAGGAGGCAGAGCCAGGCGAGGCATGGAAAGAAGACGGCGTTTGGCCGGCTACGTACCAGGCGACGCAATGAGAGAATCGGGTTAAAGCGCGCGATTTCGGAGAGTGGAGACAAATCGATCGATGGAATAGGATGGAGTAGAAGTGTAAGATGTGAATGCAACGAAGCAGAAGGCCAGAAAGAGCTTCTAGTGAATGCACTCCAAGAACCAAGTTTGAGCATCCCCGTCGCCAGCATTCGTGAAAGACGTCCGTGGGCAATTCGAACGCGTAGCAGCCTTTTCGAGTTTTCGAATTTCTAATCAAAACGAAAGCAATACTTCAGTTCTTTTCACTATTATCGTGGATAATGAGTCTCAAGCCAGTGATTTATGGCTGAAATAGAATCATGATTTTTCCGCGCAAGATTCCTTTAATAACTTCGTATGTGCTGTGAGCCGAAAATTATAGAGAAGATCTGCGATATTAGGTGGATCGTCGAGGGAGGGGGAACCATACCTTGGAAAGAGAGGCGGAACCTCTCTATAAGGGTACGGATATACAAGCAGTTGGCAATTCCATGCTCCCTTCGATCTAGTATGACCGTAAGCGCAGCCGCTATCGCCGCTGCCCGCCCCTCCTTGTGTCATAATTGAATAAGTTTTCTGTGAGGCTATTTGCAAAAGTGAATAGAATAGCAAGTAGAAAGTGTGAGGAAAAATGTCCTCTGATGTGTTGCAATAACCTCATTTTCCTTCTTTATATGTAGATGTCGCCAGTCAAAAGTATCTCACTGAAAGCTTCAAACCACCAACGACCTCTCCACGAAGCGTTCTTCGGACGCAAAGGAGAGGTTAACGAAAAAGTGCGAAAAGATCGGTTGAAAATTGCCTTGTGGCTAGACTGCCAATCGAGGCAAACACAGTGCATGCGCCAGCTGACGACTCCCTCGAAGTTTGATAAGCACTTTTCGTTTTTTTTCTATTTTGAGGACATTTACAAGTATGTACAGTTGGTGTTTATTCGGAATACTCGTACCTCATTCATGTTTTACTGGTATTTTTAGCTTGCAGTTATGCTGTTTGGAGTGTTGTTTTAGTGCGAAGGAAGTTAGTTTGATGTTCAGATCCTTTATCGTTGACTTTGCTTGTGCACTTCTCCGGCCTTTTATCTATGGGTGCTATCACAAGATACGGGGGCATTGTGGTACAACTTCACTTGAAGTCGCGTAGAGCACCTCCTCGCTGTTGAAAACGCTTCAGACGGAAGAGGAAAGGACGGTAGGATGCGTGAGCAATTTTCGTTTTCTCCGATATTCCTGCCCCTCGTAGGCTTAGTCCTGGAGGATGCCCCCGTATCGTGCGATAGCGCCTACTTATGTTTTGCATGTCTGACATGTTTGGAAGCTGTCACTTTGTTAGATTTTCAAGCTACTTATCATTTGAAGGAATTTCTTTGCTTCAATATTTACTAATACTTCAATGCTTTGATCCAGTTTGATATAAACCATGTAGAACTCATTTTTCGTCTGGTTGAATGGCCCGTATTTTTTCCAGCCGGCATTTCTACTTTTGGTTGTTTTTATCCACGCAAGATCTGTGATCTGTAGTGTTTTCTAGACAAAAATAAACTTCAGAAGTTTCACATGTGAACATTTTCGTCGAATTACATCAAGTTTGGGGTCTTTGCAGCTATAAGAAGGGTCAACCGTTCAATCTCACGTTGTAATCGCAGTTTAGCGTCAAGTGAAGGTCTCGATCTGAGGACGAGGAAGCCTTCCTCGCTCGAAAGAGAGAATGGCAAGGAGCGTTATATCGACATTTACGCTCATCCACATGCACTGCTATAATACAGTCAAACTAACCATGCAGGACGTTATGTTGCCTTTTCTGAGCGGATTCAACTTATTAACCAATCTAGAGTTACCTGGAGGGCGTTTTGTGGGTGGGATATCCAGAAGATTTTTCTTCATCTTGCTCACACTCTGCCTTTGAAGGCAAAATTAATGGTGAAAAAGCTACCCATTAGAATTTAAGTAGAACTGGTGAGTGGTTCAGTTTGAAGAAAAATTAAAACGGCCTAAAGCTCAAGAGACGGGACACCTTATTTGCTCGTTGAATTCCGCAGGAGTACTGGTATTCGTCGCTTCCCTGCTTCTACCTAATACTGCTCTCCCGCTAAAAAACTTCACGGCTAGAGTCATGGCGGTGAGGGATTACCTACCGGCGAATGTGCAGAGGATAGCGGCGCGGGTTCAGCCATGCTAGCCCGATTGGGCATACTGTTCACTGCCAGAAGCGCGACGTCTCGCACCTTGGGAGGGTCGCTTGCATTTTCCAGTTGGTATATTTACCCTTGGCCATTTTTGATCTTTTCGGGGACCCTTTTTATTCCCCGCTGTTAGATAGGGCGACTTGAACTCGTCTCTTTCACCTTGTCTCGAGAGGCTAGAGCGACAGGCGGACAGAGAATAGCCATTATGTTATCTTCGAATGCTGAAAGGATGCATAAGAGCTCTAACTAAGACTAAGCCTTGGAGGGGAGGCAACTTCGGTGGGTTCACAACTTTTAGTGTGCCAGGCCACGGTAGTCATGTCTCGTTATGCAACACATTGTGGCAGATTGAAGGACTGAGTTCAAGTTGTCCGTAAGCGGATAGACGCGGTCTGTTCGTTATTATTTTCTGCCTTTAACAGTCAACCTTATTCTCTGCAATTGCAGCATCCTCAATTTGAATATTGATGGGAATACATCGGATCATATCCAGAGCCACCTTTTCGCTTGCGATAGATCAAGTCTGCAGCCTTCCGCGGTAACAAGTCCTGCTCTGACGCACGCCATGCACGTGCCTAAGTTTTTACAACCCTCCTCCATAATCCAAATACGACCTCCCCCCTCGTTCGAGCTGTTTGAGCGGATTGTTGATGGTGCTACTTTGATTCAGTGATCTGAGGCCATTCACTCCACGGAGGACTTGGGCCTGACACTGCGACAGTTTGTGTGAGTTCTAGGGCTTCATGTTGCCATAAGGAGCACTTTGTGTTTCAGTACTTCAATTTCTAAGCATTTCTCTCGAATATAAATAATGCTCTGAGGTTGATGTGGTGTGTGTGTAGTGGACGGTGGCGGCATTTCTAGGCACCCGGTTTGGGGATCAAATCCAGGATTACTCGTTATAGAGACCTACTAAGGCCTACACCTTCCGGGTGGATCAGTAGCTATAATGCTCATATGGAAGGTTAGAAACGATGGCTTGAACATCAGCTTGACCCAAAGGTCATTGTATAGGAGAGCTCGCATTGAAAAATGCTACGGCGAGAGAACAGTGCCTAACGCATCCCGAAAAAATGGATCGACGCTAAATGACTCATCTTCCCTCCATAGTTCCTCTTTGCACCCATAATATTCTGCTAATGCCAGTGCTTACCAATTTCTGAACGATTCTCAGCAATGAAATTCAGGAGTTGGATGAGATGATAACAATGTGCCAAAGCTCTTTATTAAGCAAACTAAACAGGAAATGAGAGGACCACCCGAAATTTCGCAGGATCGACACAACACAACGGCAGAAGCAAGAGGACAGATACAGGCGGAAATGCTAGCAATTGCATTGCACTGATGTTGCACGATTCAAACGGTGAGGTTTATGTGTTGCGGCAACCACTGCTTCACCGTGGGGCAACTCTCGGTGAGCACGTTTCGATCGAACTCGTAGACTCTCTGGCTGATCGTGGATGTCTAGCGGGAAGTCGCCTTCTCCAGGAACAAGAAAATTGCAAAGCGTTCTCTAAAAACAAGCGTTTCCGAACAATCATAAGTAAGAACGTCAATTGAAACGAACCATTCGGTCGAAAACGAATAAATAACAGTCTGAGGTTTCGTAGCATTTCTTGAAACAACCTTCAAGGTCAGAGCTGTATTCGTATGCGACAACTTCCCTTATGTAGGCCCCTTCAACGTTGAGCAGGGTGTAAGTGCAGCACAGACCGGGGGTCACCTGGAACAGCAAGACTGCTTCGTTTCAATATCTCTTGAACTAAAGTCTTCCGTCTATGCAGTGAGTTCCATGTCCGGTTTCCTTGGGATATGCGGCATTTCGGATATTGTGTTGTTTCTTCTGTGCCATACAGGTTGTTATGGTGGAACACGTTTATTGGTCAACGTTTCGACAATTCGTCGTCTTCAGGACCTGAAACTGGTTCGAAGTCCTAGCTCTGTAGCTCACCCGGTGAAGCGCCTAATCTTACTAAGTTCCCAGAAACGCGAAATAATAGTACAAAATAACCGATCCCAGTGAACGAACTGAGCTGTGGTGAGGTCACCAGTTTTAGCAGCCTCTCGTGTAGGAGAGGCTATTTCGTTTCTGAGAACTTAGTAAAATTAGGTACTTTACCGAGTGAGCTACAGAGCTAGGACTACGAACCAGTTCAGGTCCTGAAGACGACGAATTGCGAAACGTTGTCCAATCTTCTGTCGTTTTGCTTTTTTTCCTTTCATCTGCCGTTATATTGCAAGAGGAAAAAACCTCACATGACAATTTTGAAATCGGCTGAAATCGAGGCACATGAGGGAAATATGGGTATGATGGTTTGTGGAGGCAGATCTGCTGAACTGAAGGAATCTTACCTGCGACAGATGCAGGAGCACGGCAAATGCTGTGACGCGAAGCGCAACGAAGCACATTGTTTCTGAAGTTTGTTTTTTCTGATGAAATATCCAGTTTAGGAAAGTCTTTAAAAAAACTCAAAATCACCTTACCCCTGCTTTTGGGCAAAAGCGTACTTCCTCAAGGGACGAAGGGAACACAGTAACATCTCGTCGGCCGGCTAACGAAGAGGAGGTACTATGTCGTCATGGTTTCCCGATTTATTTGAACTATTATGGTCTGAAAAATAGTTTCATAAAATTGGAGACTTATTCCGCTCGTTTTCCGGAGAAATTTATGATACGCGTTTCACGGAAAGGCAAGGAAGGCCGTAAATTCATTTCCAAGTGATGGAGCTCTGCCTACTACATATTTGATCAGAGACGATTCTGCTGGTTCTTCGAAAGCAATTTTGATAAGAAGTCTCATGTTTACAGTAACATCGTTTGTTAGGGAATTATCGAAACGAGCTGCAAAATCGCTCAGGCTCCAAAAAATAGGATAAGAAAAAGCACAAGAAGGCACTGTTATGAATATCAGCCACTAGGAGCTCTATTTGGTTGGCCACTCAGGTTTCTCGCATCCCCAAATTCCCCTTGTGAATTGGGCAATCTGTTCGGGCTAAAAATCTCCTTCCACTGAATTTACCATGTACCTGATCCGTTTGGTGCAAATTTGAAGGCCATAAAATTTGACGCTACGAAAATCACTTCGTGGAAGGCGCCGCGCATTCGACTTTTATTCAAATTTGCAGTGACACTTTACTGCAGTTTTTCCTTACAGTGACTGTGAGGCGAGGAAAAAGAAAAAGATTAGGCATACGACGTGATCAATCTTTTTATTGTCTGCCATACATTCGACTCCCACTGAGACTAACAGTAGTGCCGCGAATGTACGCCTTTACGTCCACTTCTGAGAGCAGGTCAGTGTCTCTATCCTCCCTGACCAGCCCGATACCAAATAACAGTCTCAGAAGGATCAAATTATTGGGAGACTTGGACAGCGTATGATCCAGGGCTTTAGGCTTGACCCAATCACGAAAAGGGGTATTACCTGGAAACTGAGGGTCTCGTTCTACGAGTGAATCAGTCTTTACTGAAGTTACTCAAACGTTCACTTCCTTTTTACACTAACTGACACACAGACCGCGCTTGGATCAACGCACCCATACCAACGGTTCGTGCGAAGTACCGTCTGTGCTTTCTACACGTGAAAGGTCGTCAGTACAGAGAGGAAACCAGCTTCATGCAGAATTATTGAGCTAGTGCAGCCCCAGTGTTCATCCCCATGTCGAACCTAATGTCCCTGGGAAAATCCCTCTCTGCGAATCCAGAGGAAACCCACCAGCTCAACTACGTCTCGGCAAAACTGACTGTTCTGTAACTTCCACCAGAAAAAAGTAATGAGGGCGCGTACAAATGTATAGACCACTGAAGAACCAGGAACACCCGTTGATACACCTTAGAACATTGCCGTATACGTGCAACCACTTTGATAACGTTCGGCCAAGTCTCGAGTCGAGATATTCTCGGAGTTACAGGATACCACAAAAACGTTTATTATAATACTATAATAATTAGTAATGCAATTGAGCTACGCAGCCACCAACAATGGGCAATGCTAGCAAATTGCCAAAAACCCCTAGAGTGTTGATCAATTATCTAGGCCCAAATATGGGGTCTTTTGATAACTCACTTCATTACGAGGTATCTACTTCCATTTTCCCTCGAGGACCAGATTTTGGCTCATATTCAAAGCTTTTTTTCGGCAGACATATTTGCAGCTCCTCCTTCAGAGATCGTGTGAGTATGGCTCAGGATACCGGGCTGGCTACTCTATAGGAGCGCTCCATACCGTTTGCACCACTCTTGCATATGAGAGGCGCGATGCTGTCTGTTGTTACTCTGCTGACACACGAAGTCAATGCCGCAAAGCTGCCATACCAACTTATAGATAACACCTTTCGAATTCTACCTATACACTAGGTGATTAATACTGCTTACTATTACTTTACCTATATACTAAGTAGTTATATTAATCACTTTAAAGGCAAAGGTCGGGCTCAGCCACGCTAGAGAAGTAATTCCCGTGCCTGGAGGTTGTATGTGGGTAGCTGCACACATTGCAGCAACTTCCCACCTTGAAAAACGTCGTTAAGCCCCCGGGGCCGTCGGTTTCAATCCAGGGCCGCCTGGTCAATCCAGGACCGCCCACCATCGCATGTGCCGCATAGCACGCCGAGCACGGCAACGTAGATTGCAAGTGTAGCGTGGAGCGTCGTAGGGTGATTTGGATCTGATCGTCGTAGAGTGTTGCGGTTCCGATCAGCTGTTTGGGGTGTTTATGTGGAACTGACCTTGTTGAGCTTTCAAAACTTTCGCACAGTTTGACTAACTGCTGGACTTCTAACTTTAAGATTCTTTTCGTGTAATTGTTTTGCGTGTTTCGTGAAAATGCACGGTGCGAGGTGAGTGGAATTAGAGTGCGAAGTGAACTGGCAAAGCAGTAAGATTCCTCCTTTTAACCCAACGGACAAAAAGATAAATTACATGCACTGAAGAGCATGTCATGAAAATTGGAACAAATGTGCGCCCTTACCTGTTTTTGAGCGAAGCCGTTGTTTTTTTTCCCAAAATATTTTTGATGAAGCAAAAAGGCGGTGTTCATGAAATCTCAAGAAGCAGGACTGTGAAGTTTAGATTCTACTTGTGCGGAGCCCCATGGCTCCACAACGATTTGACACAGCGATTCTATTGGGTTAAGGGGAATACTGTCGGCCATGGGACGTTGTTGCTCCCGTGCGCGCGTTGGCAACAAATTCCTTGGAGAGCAATTCACTGTTATATCTAAGTGGGAATTTCATTTACCGTATATCTGAATGTCAGCTACGCTTCAATTTTTGGCAAGAATTTCAGCACAAAATTGGAAAAATCAAAGCAGGAAATTCGACCAATGTAGATCCTTGCACAAATTCAGGTTCGTTCAAAGTACAGCAGAACTGGCTCAAAACATGAATGTGGTTTGGTGCTAAGGACGTCCTACTGGCAGAACTGGTTGCGAATGTTTTCAGTACCTTCGCTGCGACCAGTTCAATCATCAAGCTGACAAACGTTGTTTACATGATTTGCGCTCGATTACACCAATGTGAAAGAGTTGGTGGAAGTCGCAAGTCTGTAGCGCGGAAGCTAGCAAGGTGCCTTGGTGTACTACTACAAAATTCAAGAAGGCAACAAAGGTGGACCAATGGGTTTTGAAGGGGTCAGAAATGCAACAGCTGAGTCATTATGGGGTTTCCTGTTGGCGCTTCTTCTGCTCAACAAGAGCGATTCTTTTCTTGAGGGTTTTGTACTGTTTGACTAGAATTAATTCCTTGACGACAATCGAATACGATAGGCTGAGTGTTCGAGGCGCATTGAGGGATCTCGTCTTTCAAAAACAAAAACATGCTATATTCTCTCTATATCAACCAAAGCCTGCTTACACGAATGGAAATACTGAGCCACCGAAACAGTGATATAAGTGATCTAACTGTTGTTGTTTTGATTGGCTTATAAAGCGCTTCTTGCAGTTAGAACATAGTAGGTTATTGCTATTCTTCGTCCTCACGCGAGCTACCGGTCGACTAACATGCCACCAAATTATATTGAGTGGTTGTACATATGCTGGTGCGCTTTAGACCTAATTCGCAACACCTTCATAGAACAGTGAAACAGCAGATAAGCGGAGGAGCTAATTAAAAATTTGAACCAAGTTCACCAAATAACTCAACTACTGAGCCCAGGCTTAGTCTAAAGAGAAGAATTCACAGCAACGCGCCACCAGAAATTAAAAACACTGAAGGAATGGGGAGTCTCGAAACCTCACTTCATTCACCATGTTTGCCCGTCTTCTCCCCCACCGACTACCACTTCTCCACGAACCCTGACAACTCGTAGTAAAACTGCTTTAGTAATCAAACCCTTGTGGAAACTACCTTCAGAATCGAGTTCGTCTGCTTCAGAACTCTAGACCTTCACGCAAGAGGAATAATGTGTGATTCGAGTTTTCCAATTTGCTTGGAGATCCGACGCATCCATACGTCCTTTCAGGGGTAAAGGGGTAAAAAAAAGGCATTATTTTCCGGGACAGCTGCAGCTTGCAAGTCCCACTGGCCAATAAATGTGCGACTTTAACAGTAAATTGAATCGTATTCAGTCATTCTGTGTATAAGTTTATGTCTGATTGTTAGTCGCAGAATGGGAGATTTCCAAATGCCTTTTGCCTCTAGCGTCGCCTGATTTTCAAACAAAAAGGTCGATGAGACTACTGTAATTTTTCGAGGGCGCGCGTCAAATAATTGATCTTTCGTGCAGTTTAGTCACTTTGTTCATCAAGCACGAAATTTTACGGTGGACCAGCCAAAGAGCTGCGAACTCCACAGGCTGTCACACTCCAAATCTCTTGCACCATATCTAATCGCAATTGGCTCACGCATACATGCAAATGAGTGATTTTACGACGTAATAACAAAATTTCATGTCTTCTGTCGGCTGGATTTCTCTCTAATTCTCACAGACTGGCGTCGATAACGCCTGTTTATTTCTGTGGCGGCCTTTAGATTTACATTCCTCTTCATAACCTATACACATCCCCCCACATGGTTCGAGCCTTAGTGAGTGAGTGCCCTTGATTTCCGCTGTCTGGCCACTCACTTCATAGGCGAAAGTGGGAAATTACACCAGTCACAGTTTGCGCTTATGCTTGGTATGAGTCAGATCTTTTGCGTTTTCATTTGACTTCGTTCCGTTCTAACTTTTGAGTACGAAGTACGAAGTCTGTCGAACTGGCTGATTATTCAAAAGAAAAGACGCACAGTATTCCATTGCCTGGCGCATCCCCAAAATGGATCAAAAAGGCTTTGCATCCATAATATTCTGTTAATGTCAGTGCCTACCAATTTCTGAACGATTCTCAGCAATGAAATTCAGGAGTTGTATGAGATGATGACAATGTGCCAAAGGTCTTTATCAAGCAAACTAAACAGGAAATGAGAAGACCATCCCGAAATTGCAGGATCGACACAACACAACGGCAGAAGCAAGAGGACAGATACAGGCGGAAATGCTAGCAATTGCATGCACTGATGTTGCACGATTCAAACGGTGAGGTTTATGTGTTGCGGCAACCACTGCTTCACCGTGGGGCAACTCTCGGTGAATACGTTTCGATCGAACTCGTAGGTCTCTGGCTGATCGTAGATGTCTAGCTGGAGCTTGCCATCTCCAGGAACAAGAACATTGCAAAGCGTACTCTAAAAACAAGCGTTTCCGAACAATCATAAGTAAGAACGTCAATTGAAACGAACCATTCGGTCGAAAACGAAGAAATAACAGTCTGAGGTTTCGTAGCATTTCTTGAAACAACCTTCAAGGTCAGAGCTGTATTCGTATGTAGAAACTTCCCTTATGTAGATCAGTGAACTGTTGAGCAGGGTGTAAGTGCAGCACAGACCGGGGGTCACCTGGAATAGCAAGGCTGTTTAGCTTCAACATCTCTTGAACCAAAGTCTTCCGTCAATGCAGTAAATTCCACTGCGGTTTCCTGGAACCTGGGCATTTCGGATATTGTGTTGTTTCTTCTGTGCCATACAGGTTGTTATGGTGGAACACGTTTATTGGTCAACGTTTCGACAATTCGTCGTCTTCAGGACCTGAAACTGGTTCGAAGTCCTAGCTCTGTAGCTCACCCGGTAAAGCGCCTAATCTTACTGAGTCCCAGAAACACGAAATATTATGTAACAAAATAACGGATACCAGCGAACGAACCAACCTGCGGTGTGTCCACCAGTTTTTAGCACCTTGCCCGTTCTAGGGGCTGCTAAAAGGTGGTGAACTCTCACATGTTAGTTCGTTCGCTGGGATCGTTCATTTTGTACTATTTCGCGTTTCTGGGAACTAGTAAGATTAGGCGCTTTACCGGGTGAGCTACAGAGCTAGGACTTCGAACCAGTTTCAGGTCCTGAAGACGACGAATTGTCGAAACGTTGACCAGTCTTCAGTCGTCGACATTTTACTTTGCTTTTTTCCCTTTCATCTGCCGTTAGATTGCAAGATTGACAATGACGTTTCATCTGCCGTTAGATTGCCAGATCATATGACATTCTTACGGTAAATCGGCTGAAATCGAGGCACATGAGGGAAATATGGGTATGATGGTTTGTGGAGGCAGATCTGCTGAACTGAAGGAATCTTACCTGCGACAGATGCAGGAGCACGGCAAATGCTGTGACGCGAAGCGCAACGAAGCACATTGTTTCTGAAGTTTGTTTTTTCTGATGAAATATCCAGTTTGGAAAAGTCTTTAAAAAAACTCAAAATCACCTTACCCCTGCTTTTGGGCAAAAGCGTACTTCTTCAAGGGGCGAAGGCAACACAGTAACATCCCGTCGGCCGCCTAACAAAGAGGTGGTACTATGTCGTCATGGTTTCCCGATTTATTTGAACTATTAATGGTCTGAAAAATAGTTTCATAAAATTAGAGACTTATTCCGCTCATTTTCCAGAAAAATTTATGATACGCGCTTCACGGAAAGGCAAAAGGAGGTCGTAAGTTTTCGTTCAGAGGCGGAGCTTGGCCCACTATTTGATCAGACGAGTCTGCTGGTTCTTCGAAAGCATTTTTGATAAGAAGTCTCATGTTTACAGTAACATCGTTTGTTAGGGAATTATCGAAACGAGCTGCAAAATCGCTCAGGCTCCATAAAAATAGTAGGATAAGAAAAAGCACAAGAAGGCACTGTTATGAATATCAGCCACTAGGAGCTCTATTTGGTTGGCCACTCAGGTTTCTCGCATCCCCAAATTCCCCTTGTGAATTGGGCAATCTGTTCGGGCTAAAAATCTCCCTTTCCCTGATTTTACCATGTACCTGATCCGTTTGTGCAAATTTGAAGGCCATAAAATTTGACGCTACGAAAATCACTTCGTGGAAGGCGCCGCGCATTCTACTTTTATTCAAATTTGCAGTGACACTTTGCTGCAATTTTTTCCTTGCAGTGACTGCGAGGCGAGGAAAAAGAAAAAGATGAGGCAGACGACGTGATCAATCTTTTTTGGGGTCTGCCATACATTCGACTATCACTGAGAATAACAGTAGTGTCTCGAATGTATGCCTATAGGTCCACTTCTGGGAGGTGGTCAGTGTCGGTACCCTCCCAGACCAGCCCGATACCAAATAACAGTCTCAGAAGGATGAAATTATTGGTTGACTTTGACAGCGTCGATCCAGGGTTTTAGGCTTGGCCCAATCACGTAAAAGGGGTATCATCTAAAAACTGATTGCCTCCTTGTACGACTGAATCAGTCTTCACTGAAGTTACTCAAACGTTCCACTTCCTTTTGAAGCCAAGTGGCAGTGGCACACAAGCCATGCTTGGGCCAGGGCAAATTTATGGTTGTTTCGTGGTATCGACGTGGAGGTACCGTCTTCTATACGCGGAAGGTCATCAATTTGGAGGAAAAGCCAGCTTCTTGCGAAATTGTTGAGTCAGGGCGGACCCAGAGTTCATCCCCAAGTCGAACATGATGTCCCTTGGAAATTCCCTTTGCGAACCTAAGGACGACCCACCAGCTAAACTATTCTGCATGCTGTAGGGGCACGGAACTGAGGCTCATTTTTTTGTGAGCGGCTCTGGGAATACCTATAAATTGGTGGGAGCAATTGTCTGCGGTTCGATCCCTGCTCACGAAATTTTTTTGCAATTCTCTTATTTACTCACTGTTGCGCTCTTAT